ATTGTTTCCATCAATAGTCTGTCATGGTGTTGGAAACAAACATATGCAAAGCTTTGCTGTCTATAAGCTTTGTGTGTACGCTGTTGTATATTTTCTGTTGTTAAGAATGCCTTGGTTCACAAATGTTATTGCATCCTCATAGGCACGCATTGTTTCTACTGGTGTGTCCTATGCATTTAAAGGGAAGTTCTCATACAACATATATTCTTTGCCTTAGATTGTAGTCAATAAAAAGTTATCTTACATTTTCTTAATTTTAGATCTGTATTATATTTTTTATAATAGTATTCTATATACATATTCATAACCAATAGAGGAAGATCCTGTCTGTCTGGCAAACAGTCTAATCAGCACCCATTCTGAATGACTGCTGTGAGAACATCAACAAGCTACCTGAAAAATATTTTTTATTACAGTCTTTGTGTAATATGAATCATAAAGGTTTTACTCCATGACACAGATACAGTCTTTATTGAAATTTTATTTTCATAAACCATCAGTATAATGGTGACAGGATACAGCACAATGCTGTGCTGTTCTGCACATTACACTCATCATGTATATGTAATGACCAGAAACAGCAACTCTTACTTACACATATAATAAATGATAAAAAAACAATCATTTTAAAAAGTGAGCACAGATTGGCAAAAATATTTTTTTAAACAAACACAACTCTTTAAAAAAATAGATCACACAGATTCCCTTTAAATTATCCAACCTAATGAAATACCTTCCCCAAGATTTGCTGGATGCAATAACATTTGCAGTTTGGGTATGTATTAATACATCTTTCCAATGCTTTCTTTCAGTTGGTCCTCCTACAGATGTAAACTTTGAAATAGTAAATGAGAATACAGTTCGAATGTCATGGCAAAGACCGGCTGAGCGGATACGAGGTTACAAGATTACTATTTGTTCCAACAACTGGTAAGGAAAGCAAACTTCCCAGTAGCTACTTGTAAACACTAGGATTGAAAGAAAGGGAAAAAAAATAATTAGGGAAAAGAAAATTTATATAGTTTCTATAATATTCCTGCCACCAACATGTTGTTTGAGGTAAGCCATTAGTCAAATAATAGCAATGGTCAATCCATATGCTGAGGCAGATGCACTGTTCACATTTTGGTACAGAAGGGCTCAGTGATTACACAGGTACTACTGGGGTTATATACTAGAGTCATGCCAAACACCTGCCCCAAAATAAGATATGATACCCTGGCAGTGAGATTTCGAAAGCAGGAAAACATCAAAATCCAAAACTGTCAGTCTCCATATAAGGTTTAGGCATCCTTTTCACTTTCTCTGATTAGTTTTATTCATTGTAGAGTCCAGGTCATTTCTGAGGAAGTGACAGAAGATGAAGGACAGAAACAAACGATGAAGTAGATTTTGGCATTTGCAGATCATTTATACAATTTAGCTGTTCTAAGACTCTGTTTTATTAAATATTTAGTTCTGAATGTTTTTGTTGCCTTATATGAGCCTAATGGAGACTTACTAAATATTAGGTTGCTAGATTACAGAAGATTATTATTATTTAGACTTTGAAGTATTGCTCTGGTAAGTACTTACAAGTTGTTTTAGAATAAAATAGAATTGTTAATATTACACTGTTACAAAGATTGATGGATATATTAGTCATGGCCCAGGAATTCAAAGAGAGAAAACTTATGTAACCTCTGTCCTGTTATATAAACCACTATTGTGGTCCACAGTGTAAAATGACTTTATACTGGATATCCTATTGTATGCATTTTTTCTGTTTTCTGAAACAGAAAATTGTCAAGAATCTAATAAGGAGAATTTGTATATTCTATCTAAGAGATGCTCAGTTTGAAAAGTACATTTATTTACACCATTGATTGCTTACCATATATTTATAAAAGCCTGGATTTACACCACTCATGTTGTATTTGGCACACAGTGATGCACTCTAAATGCACTTGAGATGATGTGCGTTCATGTGCGGCTTTGGGTTCATGTGCTTTTTTCCTAGCAGTAGCCAAAATGCTTAAACATTTTATTCTTAAGGCACATTGCATCACATGTGCAATGTGTTGAAAAATGCTGCTCTGAATTTAAATGCAGCATGCTCAATTTTCATCCAGAGTGCAACAATGTAGTGCACTGGTGTAAACTGGGACCACTGAAAACAATGTATTTGCCTTGTCATTGGATTTGGCCTGTGTTGAGCTACATTACTGTGGATTGGTGTGGGTGGGCCTTAAATATTTCTATATGGCTAGGTACCTATTCTGCTATCAGATATTATTAAACCAACATTGGCAATGAACTAACCTTCTATGGAAGACAGTTTCTTTCTTAAAATTTTTCCAATGTTTCCTGAGCATTCCTAGCCTAATTGCCAGTACAACTAAGTCCCACCATTCATCTTAATATTCCTAGTAGAAATTGTAAAGGAATTAGCTCAGCCTGTATTTCTCCTATCATCAGGCAGGGCTACCATAAGCTTCCAAAATCATACTTCACATTTTTGTATCATTTGCTGCTGTGATATGAATCTCAATTGACCCATTATATGAGTCATCTGGTTTGGAATTCCACATTTTTGCAGGTTCTCAATCTTTTAAATATTTTGCGGGACCACAACTGTTTGAACATTTCAGAAGTTTGCTCATCTCTATTCAATATACTTTTGTTAACAAATAGTTAGACCCTCTACGACAAAGTTAGATTGACTACAGTTATTTGTGTATGATTAGTGTTGATACATGCGCTGTAACTGATTACATTGTAAACCTTATTGGACATTTAGAAAGATAGAAAAAAAACCCAGTGTTTGGAAAAGGGACTTTAAGGGCAACAGATAGAGTACTGAGGTAAAATATAACAAAGATTTATTCTAGTACAATAAAATACTAAAAATATATCAATTCCATAAAGGTCACAACATAGTGGCTACATAGATGTGAATGAACAAACTTTGATTGATGTAAAAAGAACCTCCCCTTGTTGTTCTGCTGGACCCTTTTCCAAACACTGGGTGTCCATCGATCTTTCTGCATAATCATGGTATATTGGCAACTATTTAACCAATTGCCTACTGGACACTTTTACCCCCTTCCTGTCCAGGCCAATTTTCAGCTTTCAGCGCTGTCACACTTTGAATGACAATTGCGCAGTCATGCAACACTGTACCCATATGAAATTTTTTATAATTTTTTTTCACACAAATAGAGCTTTTGGTGGTATGTAATCACCACTGGGTGTTTTATTTTTTGCACTATAAACAAAAAAAAGCAAAAAATGTGAAAAAAAAAAAAAAGTTTTTCTTTGTTTCTATTATAACATTTTGCAAATAGGTAAATCTTATCCTTCACTGATGTGCATGGATGAGGCTGCACTGATAGGCAACACTTATGCGCACTGATAGGCAACACTTATGTGCTGATAGGCAGCACTGATGAGGCAGCACTCATAGGCAGCACTGATGGGCACTGATAGGCTGCACTGATGAGGTGGCACTGGTGGGAATTGATGAGGAGGCACTGATGCTGCACTGATATGCAGCACTGTTGGGCACTGATCGGTGGTAATGATGGGCAATGATAGGCAGCACTGATGGGCACTGACTGACAGCACTGACTGGCGCCACTGACTGATGGCACTGATGGGTGGCACTGCTGGGTGGCACTACTGGGCGCACTGCTGGGTGGCACTGATGGACAACACTAATGGGTGAAACTGATGGGCACTGATGGGTGGCACTGCTGGACACTGATTGGCACCACTGCTGGGCACCTTTGGGCTGCACTGATAAGCAGGGCACTGACAATCAGTGCCCTGATTATCAGTGCAGATGTCTTCTGTGACACTTGCTGGTTAACGGCAGTACTTTGACAGTACTGTGATAGCGTGAAGAAAGTGCTGCTGATAACCGGCAACTGTATGTACTTTGTGATCAGCTGTGTCATTGGACACAGCTGATCATGTGGTAAAAGGCCGCTGTGATTGGCCTTTTACCTTGTCATGTGATCAGCTGTGTCCGTAGGACACAGGTGACCACAGACAGTGTCGGGTGCGCACCTCTGGTGCACACAGGGGGTGCATTCTGGGAAGACATCATATGATGCCCTCCCAGAACTGGACAACCGCTCTGTAGCCATAATTCGGCTATAGCCCGGTTGTCAAGTGGTTAAGGACATAAGCTGGTGATATCTGTACTTTTATTGGACATTCAGTGCCCGTTCACATATGCGGATTGGATGCAGTTTGAACCACATCCAATCCGCATGACATGTGAAATAACATTGTTTCCTATGGTGCCTGTTCACATATGTCCAGTGCATGGCTGGTGCAGATTCAGTGTGGTTTTAAATAGAGTCATGTCCAAATTCTGAGCAGTAGCTTCAGGTTCAGGTGTGGATTACAGGCTTTTGACTTCTATGGGAACTGTTCCTTAACCGCATATGTATGAACGGGACAAGATCCTGAGCCAATCCTGTCCTGAACCTGATGTAAACCTGACATGAACCTGTGAACAGCTACTGTATCAATTAGCTGTGAAACCTGAGCTTCAATCCAAAAAAATTAAGTACCAATAATACCAATAAGATTTACAAAGTATCATTACAGTACATGTATCAATACCTAAAAAAGTGTTATTGTAATAGTTCAAAGAAATATTTTTTCAGTTAAGCATTGAACCAGTAATTGTTTTTTTTTTTTTTTTGTATTACCTGCATTTGGGGAAGTATGTCTGTTTGGTTCTATCACCTGACAGAGCTTTTAGTATTATGCCCCATATTCTCACTACTAATTTAATTTATTGAATCTGTAGTGTTAATTGTTATCACATTTAAAAAAAAGTTTCAACTGAATGGTCAAATTATGATTTAATCAGTTGAGAAGTATACAGGTATGTTGATTATGATGATGATAAATGTACAAGGTTTTAATATGAAATGGGGGAGTCCAACGAGAAACATTTTTCTGACTAGTATTTGCTTTACAATGTTTTACTTTAATGTTTTCCAGATGGACCTGCAAAAGAACTAGATCTTCCAGCTTCTGCAACCCAAACTGTGTTAACAGAACTTGTACCAGATGTTGAATATGTCGTCACAATCCTTTCTTATGATGAATTGGAGGAAAGTTTACCTGTGTTTGGCCAGCTTACAAGTAAGTACTCAAAAGAGATACATCATCTAATGAAAACAAGTGTACAGCCCAACCCACTTATTGCTAACATGTTCACAGATGGGACTACATAATCATTATGGAATGTATTATTGTAGAATAGTCATTAGCAATCTTATAAAAACAGTAAATCTCACGTGTTTGAAAATCTTTTTGTTTTAGCAAACATCAAGTTTCCCCCCTCATATTTTTTATGTTACCGTTATGTAAAAGAGAGATTTTTTTTTTTGGAATTACATTCAATTTTCTTCTTTTAGATATGTTTTTATATATGAGGACCATTGATTAGTGGTCTTAAAGTATACCTAAAGCTGACATGTGTCCTGGGGACTAGTGCCAGTGAGACAGAAAGTAATGGGAAATCCAACATTTTGAGTTGTCACTGGAACAGAATTAGAGGGAAAATCTTCCGAAGGGCACACCAACAATAAATACCTACAACAAGTTTCATCTTTGGTTTTATTTTTGCCTTCCATTGTGAGACTAGCTTTAGCAACACTGTAATGCTAATAACGTATTGGTGAAATCTTGGATAATTTTTTAAAAAAGTAAGGAAATATTTGCAATACTGTTGTGGGTTTGTCCTTTGTGGTGTGCTCAAGCATAATTGCCAGCGAAAAGTGAATTTTCATGAAATTTTACTCTCCATCAGCCCAAGTAAAAGTCAATTAACTATTTTTAAGATTATAAATAAAATTTAATTATAAAATAAAAATAATCAACCCTCATATTTATACTCACTGTGGAACTTTTTTCTGGCATGACCTCAATATAAAGAGCATAACTACATGAAAATAAATCACAAATACCATGGAAAACTATGTAGTCTTAAGTTAGCTAAAAAATATCAGAAGCCTTGAACACATTCCTTTAAACACTCTCTCACAATTAGACAAATAGAAGAGTTCAGTTTTTTTAATCTTGTGAAAGAGATGCTGTTTATGGTATATTTCCCCTGACTAGAATTCCAAGAAACCCCTGAATATAAATATCAGTTAAAAACAGTCTTTGTAATACTGGGCACCTAGAAATATCAATCTGCAAAATAATTACCACTAAGTAGCTGGTTGAGTCTGAGGTAAACTAATAATAATAACCCTTTCAGCTATTATTTTCACATTTTTGTCACTGGGCCTGCCATGGTCCACTTGAAATATAGAAAAACTCCCATTGATACTTTGTAACTGGTAAAGTTATTTCTTATGGGGGGGGGGGGCAAAAAGCCATGGGACAGAAGAGAAAAAAAAAGAGGGGAGATATCGACCCTGTATCTAAAAAAGATTCAATAACACCAGAAAAAAAACTAGAGAGCTTTCGGTACTATTCCTAAAATTAACATAAAAAAAAGAATGAATAAAAAAATCACAACTTTTATTAGCCAATCACCCCTGAGAACCCCCCTAGCCAATCACCCCATAGAACCCCCCTAAGAACATCATTTCTAAAAACATTTAAAATAAAGAAAAACATTAGCCATGGATGACCATTAATTAACAAAACAAATACATATATATATATATATATATATATATATACACAAATTAACCTCTGGATAATAGATCTTTGATATCAAACATAGAAATTGATCAAGTGAGATATGCCTCTAAACTTCCACTGCACACCGTAGTAAATGCATAACCTGTTGATGAATGTGCTGATGAATGTGTGATGCAGTAATAAGGTCAATAGATAAATTATCCTTAGAATGGAGCATTAAATGAGCACAGATAAATGAATGTAAAGAAAAAAACTTATGGGAGACCCACCAGGGATTCTAACCCCAGACGACAAGAGGGTTGATGTGGTAATCCTCTGAGGTTTGGCAATTATTAAATAATCCTAATAAAGATGCATGTAAAGAAGAGCTAGCATATTTGAAGATTTTGGCTGATTTATTTAATGGATAAACTTAAAGAGAAATGACCATTGATAATATAATCCACTGTTATTAGCAAAGATCACCATCCAGATGTGTTTTAAATATCCATAAATTATATATCTTGTGTATTTAGTTTTGTATAACAAGCCCGCCAAATTTAGGTTTTCAAAAGATATTATAGTGCACTCCATTTGTTAAAATAATGTTGGTGACCACATCAGAAGAGAAAGTCCAAACACATCATAGTAGAAGTACCGGAAAAAAAAAAACCCAACTTCATGTAACTTTATTATAATGCCTAATGCACCACATGAGAGTTCATAAAGGTAGTGCTTCACTGAAGTTCAAAAGTCAGTGTAGAGTCAATAACCCATCAAGTTGGCATATAAATTCATAGACATATCAGAAGACAAAATCCAGCCAGCTCATAAAACTTGACAAGACACCTGAAGTAATAAACTGCAGATTTAATATGAAAGGGAAAAAAGTTCAAAGTGGCTTAACTGTTTATAAAATATGTGCACAGTGTGTCATGTGAAAGTTCATACGGTAATATTTCACTGAAAGCAGAGATCACTGCAGACAAGAAATTAAGGTCAAATACTTCTATAGCAAGTCAACAAGTAAAGCAAAGGAGAACAGAAAAGCCAGTGCCTCACGACATTGCCATTAGTAGGCAATTTTTTCAAACCAGCTAGTGTTGTCAATTCATATGGCCAGTATAGGGGGGTTATAAGACCAAATATGGCACCAGGGGGCTTGTACATATGACAAACTTAATGCCAACATGTTCATAATGTCACAATGTATAAAAAAAAAGTAATGAGGTCATGATACATGCACTCAAGGACATGATTTTACATGAAATATACACAAATTTGCTTGCAAAGTACAACTGCCCTTGCAAAGTAAAACAGCCGGTTTGCCTATAGTAAGTCAACCCTACAGTACCTGTAATGCACTAGTCTTTCCTCTGCCCTATTATCATTCAGCTAAAATAGAGGCTAATGTAAACAATTCCAGTATTAAGAAGTTTCTCAGAACCACCTAACAGGTTCAACCTGCCTTGGACATTTAATTGGATTGGTGAGGCAGGAAAGAGAGAGGAAGTTACATATTGCACAATCTAGACAGTATACTTTTACTGTCCTCCTGCTGACCTTGTGTAGAGCACAGGAGCAGAATGACCATTTGGAAACTCGGGCACTGCCCGAGGGCCCCGGGTAGTTCAGTAGGGCCGGGGCCCCATGAAATGCCCCTGGTACCTTTTTCATAGGCTTTTTTGAGTTTGGGCAGAAGGACACAGGGGCCCCATGATCCCCTATTGCCCGGGGGCCCCATGAATTGTCAGTCCGTCCCTGCAGGTAGAGCAGCATATGATTGTTATTGTAGGGGATTCCAGGAAGCGTTCACAGTCTTTGTTAGGTAGTATTTACTTACTGCCTTCCCTTGTTGCCTACACTTGATCTTTTAACTGCCTCCTGCCAGCCATAAAAGGAAATGACAGGCGCAAGGTGGTTCTCTCGTTCTGGGAGGATATCATATGACGTCCTCCCACTCTAACCGCGCATGCACGCCCCCGGGGGCACGCAACGCGGCAATCTGTGGTGTGCTGTGTCCCTGGGACACAGCAGATCACCTATCAGCGGAAAAGAGCCGATAACTTCGGCTCTGTCATGTGATCAGCTGTGTCCAATCACAGCTGATCGCATGTAAATAAGGAAATGCAGGTTATCAGCATTTTTCTGCTCACAAGCTGTCATGCTGACAGTGCCCATCACTGCAGACTCATTAGTGCACATCATTGAAGGAGAAAAATTACTCATTTACAAAATTGTATAACAGAAACTAAGAAAAAAACTTTTTTTTTTTCAAAATTTTCAGTTGTTTTTGGTTTATCAAAAAATAAAAAACCCAGTGGTGATTAAATGCCTCCAAAAGAAAGCTCTATCTGTCTCAAAAAAAGATAAAAAATTTCATATGGGTACAGTGTTGCATGACCGCACAATTGTCATTCAAACGCAACAACGCTGAAAGCTGAAAATTGGTCTGGGCAGGAAGGGGATGAAAGTGCCCGGTAGGCAAGTGGTTAAAAAGTATCTCTGGCCCCATGTTTTTCATAATTTTACAGAGAAATAAAAAATAGATTATCTGTCAATTTTACTGTTCTCTCTAATCCCATTGTAGAGATTTCCCCTCATTTTCTGCTTTGATGACAACAAAAAATCAAGGAAAGTCCACCCAACAAGGCCTCAAAGCAGTAAAGTAAAGGAAATCTCCAAGAGTAGATAAGGAGAAGGCTTAAACTCCTGGCAGCTTTTTATTGATGCATTTGTCCCTGTTGGAGATTTTCCCCTTGTTTTTTTTTTTCAGTGATGCTATTGTCACCTGGATAGACATTGAGAGGAAATTCCCCTAAATGGGCCATAGACAATAATAAAAACCCTTCTCCACTCAATCATACTTATAAAAAGACTTGTAGTTACACTTAAATTATACAAAGTGCCTATTTTTATTTTAAATTATAATATCCTTTAGTATTTTTTTATTTATTTTTGTGTGTTTATTCCCTCCAGCAAAGTACAATAAATGACCTTTAAAAATTACATAACACATTTTGTCTAGCCAATTCCTGTGAGCACAAGTACAAGCATTGGCTTTCAAAGTGATAGGGTGTGATTAACTAAAAGCATATTTTTCACATATCAAACTAACCCTGTGTTCACATTAAACACCAAACCATGCACATGACTGAATGACTGAAATTATTGGAGAACTAAATGAACTAAATGAAAAAAAAAATGTATTCCTCTAGTAACTCCTCTTAGCAATCATTTGATTTGCTTACACTTCAAACATATCATCAGTAAGCCTAGGGAAAAGCTGTGGCTAAGTTATGAGGGTTTTATTACAAGCTACATCCCTTCTATTATACAAACTGTCAACAAAAGTTATTACATATGTTCTGGCCCTGGATAAGTAGTTTTTTTTTACAGTGCAATCAGAACTTTCCCATACCTACATGATTGTAAAGCTTCTGTACATCTACAGTGCTCCTGTACTTTTACTTACTTTTGCCTATTAAGCATTTTTATGACCACGTTGCACCAATACAATGACAACTTTTGCTATAAAATTTTTTGCTAAAATAAACCTATCATACATGATTTACAAAATGCAGGTTTGGCTTTTAAAGTGGTTGTAAATCCTTGCATATTTCCAGTGAAGTCAGTAGCCTCAGGAGATACACAGAGATGAAACAAATCTTCCTATATAAGTTTGTACCTGCTTATCTGCCACCATTTTGTCCTGTACAGCCTTGTAAAACACAGATAAAAATAATTTTTCACAAAAGCACAAAACAGAGGGTGGAAAGCTGAAATTACACTAAGCAGTGAGGAAAGCTCTGAATCGTGATTAGAGGGAATGGACACACACCCCTCCACACAGCACATAGGAAGGATGCAGAGTCAATATCAATCACAGGCTGTGTGCTGGAGCTCCCACCCCCGCCATCTTTTTTTTATCAGAAATTACTAATTCAGATGGTAGAGGAACCAAACAGCAGAGAGAAAACACACTCGATGCTCTGGATTGAGACAAGTAAATACTACAGAAGATTGTGATTTGTTCATATTTCATGTCAGAGGTTTACAACCACTTTAACTTGAAAGGTAAACAACTGACTTTGAAGAAGGTATCTGTCAAAGCTGGATTATTTATTGAATCTCCCCAAGGGCCTATTTCAATTAACTTTTGATCCCCTCAAATGTGTTTTTCAGTACCATAGATGTCAGAAGGACTTAAAATACAGGTTAGATGCACCTGAGAATGAATTCTGAACTTTTCCAGAAGCGCCTCAAAGTGTCAAAATTATGCCATTGACACAGCCCAAAGCTTGTTAGCACAGGCCCAAATTTAGTTGGAGCTGTGTGAAGGTAGATTTTTTTTAAAGATTTGTACTTATCTCTGAGCAAATGTTAGTAGTGACCAATCTAGTTTACAACCATTCCGGTCAACTAATACATATCAGGAAGAGAACAGCTTGGGGCAAGTTGGTATGCAAACCCATGCTCTTCTGTTTTTATTTATCCTGGTAGTAAAGCAGCATAATAGTGTTGCAGCATTGCATTTAAGTGTTAATGAATTGTTTATAAGGGGAAACATGGCTTAAATAGATAATTGATATTTGCCCCTGTCCAGCCCTCTTCATCTGGAAACTCCTGCTACTGTTATTTACCCTTATAGAAATGCTGATGTCTGCCAAATATGAGCATGATTATATTTTACTACACTGTAGTCAAAATCTCCGAAAATAAAGATTATGGCCCTCCAGAAACATTGGGGTTTCCATTAAAACTTGACACCCCATTTCATCAGTAACACAAAATATGTAGTTATAGAAGCGATTGAAACATGATTCCAGTGGTTTTTACCATTTAGATTTGCAGTGCTTGCAGTAAAAATGAGTGATCATAAAATAAACACAGATCCCCCCCCCCCCCCCCCCAAAAAAAAGGTAGGTAAATGTAGAACTTTTTAGGTGCTCACAGATTGTGCATCTTACCATCATGTATTTCTTTTTAAGTTCAAACAGGAGGCCGTGTGACGACAGAAGAAAAGAAGTTTGCAACTTCAGACTCCCCACGTATGTATCCTATCTTATGCCTTAATTATATGTTACAGAAACAAATGCCTTGTGTGGAAATGGATGATACAATGTCAAGGGTTAATTCACATTTACTGTACCTTAATAATTGCTTTCTCCTTTTTAGTTATTGAAGGAGAGCCACATTTTATGAATTACCCTACTATTTATCTAGTAGGTGCTGAAACATAGAAAAATATCATATCAATTGAAATGCACCTAAAATAAAAGTTTACCACCACGCTAACATTCACAGCATGATAACCAAATAAAAAACAAAAAGCCAGTTACCTGACTGTACAATTAAATTGCAATAATCTCTTTGCTGTTTTTTATTTTTTTATGCACAGGTTAGATCTGCTGAATTTATCAGTTAATTATATAGTATTAAAAATTACATTTTGGTAGCTACATAAGAGTACAGTATAAAACTACACATATTATGGCTCCATAGTATTGTACAATAATTACATTTTTTACTTTTTCTAATAGATTCCTAAAAAATAAGAACAATATTGACCACCCATCTGAAAATAAGAGTACCACACCCAAAAGTTTTTTTTTTTAAATTACAAACATGTTATACTTACCTGCTGTGTGCAGTGGTTTTGCACAGAGCAGCCCCAATCTTCCTCTTCTTGGATCCACCGCTGACACTCCTGGCTCCTCCCCCTTGGCCAGTGCCCTCAATAGCAAACTGCTTGCTATGGGTGCAATGGCACGTGCTCTTCCATAACACACATAGAGCTGCAGCTCAGCCCTGCCCCCTACTCTCTCCTCACTGGCTGCTATTGACAGCAGTGGGAGCCAATGGCTCCCACTGTTGTGTCTCAGCCAAAGAGGAGAGAGATACCCAGGACAGCCGAGACTCCCATGCACATCACTGGACCAAGAGGAGGCTCAGGTAAGTATTGGGGTGAGATGAGGGGGGAGCAGCACAAAGATGGTTTTTTACCTTCATGTATAGAATGCATGAAGGTAAAAAATCTTCAGCCTTTACAACCACTTTAATGAATTAATTTTCAGTGAGAGTGTTTGTAGGTGGGGGCTGCTTAGAGGTTTTAAAACAAGAATACATCAGCATAACAGATCCCGATATTTTTTTAGAAAATACCTTATTACAAAAATATAGCATTGCATTTACTATAGAAGTACATTAAAATACAGTTGACTGAATTTTGTAACGTATTTGCCAATAAGTTTAATGTCAATAAGATGCTTTTCAGTACTCTGGAATTTCAGGCCTGCCTAGCCTCATGACTGAAAGTATGGGAAGCTAGAACTATTCTTGTAACAGGCATCAGTCAGATTGTCATTTTTATCCCTCATACTGCAAGACTAACTTAAAAAGATACACTGACTGGTTGTATTTATTGGCAGAACAGCTCTTATAGCTGTAGACATTGAGGATACACTTTCTTTTCAGACGCTTTCCATCAGAAGGTTGTGGCTAATGGTGTATGTGTTTTTATGTGCATATTTGAGGAAATTACTATTTGTGTGGGATTTTAAACTGTTGGTAGAGGGTACTTAGGAGGAGTAGGGAAACACTAGTTGCACAACACTGTGGTAAATATTTGTAGTAAAAACAAATACTGTGTAACTTCTTGTAATGGACTAGGAACAGGCGCCTTTTTAAAACCTATTGCATTACTTGTGAAACAAAATAATCTGGCTGTGTGAGACTGTGTTCTTTGAGATGTTGTTGGCAGCCCCTTAAAAAGCCAAATAAAACTGGTTTATGGTCACTGAATAAACTGTGCAAACTAATCCAATATTATGAATAGCTGAAAAATTTCAGGCAGCAAAAGTGAATTCCAATTAAAAAAACAACTGGATTTCCCTAAAGTGAAAGTGAGTCCAAAATAGTCAACAATTTTACTATATGCACCTGCTGTAGTATGTGGTATATTGTGAAAAGATACCTGAATTTATTTTGATGAACCTCTTGATTGATTGGACTGTGAGAGAGTAGGATAAACTGTGATAGTAGTGTTATATCTGTAAAGTCCCCAATAGGCAGGCGACACAAATTCATTAATGTTGTCATAAAAATATGAATTTATTTTGCATTGATCCGAAGAGCTGACAGCTCTTCCTTTACAGAACACTGTTTAGAAAGTTATTTAAAAAAAAGTTCAAGGCAACCTTGAAGGAAGCTTGGGTTGAGAGGATATGGAGGCTGCATTGCTGACCTCTTTAATCTGCATGTCTTTTCTGAGTAAGTGGCTCAGGAATGACAGAACCCAGAGACAACCACAAAAGTACTATTCTTAGGGAGAAATGAACAATGGTAGCATTCAGTGCAGAATTTCTTTAAACTGATATTATATGAGATTAAATTAATACTGTATTTATTACTATCACAAGGTCTAGGTACAACCTTAAAGTGATATTAAAGACTATTTTTTTTTAATTAAAAGATGTTATACTTACCTGCTCTGTGCAAAAGTATTACACAGAGCAGTCCCTTACTTCCTCTTTGGCAGTCCCTCATGAGTTCGATCTGTTCCTTCTTCTTCAAGTGCCCCTTAAGCAAGCTATGTGCTATGGGAGCACCAGTGTGTGCGCACTCCTGAGCCAGATTGTGTGCTTCCATAGAAAGACAGAGTGCTGGTAAGCCACACCCCCACTCCTTCCTCACAGAAATTTGATGTGCAGCAACAGGAGCCTCTGGCTCCCACTGCTGCCTGTGTCTTCTGTGTAAACATTTAGCCTTTAGGACCGCCTTAAGCAAGGTAATGATTTAATTATTCATTTTTTGTTATGATGAGAAAACAGAAATTCCAAATAAAGGTAAACTGTAAAATAAAGTTGTAGAACACAAGTTTATTCATTTGTGTTTATATAACACTAATATATTATGCAGTAATTTACAAAGTACTTGGAAGCTTTCATATTAGACACTGCTCATGAAGTTCACAGTCTAATGACGGTAACAACCACATTCGTATAAACTCTAGGGCCAAATTTAGAGAAAGTCAATTAACTAACTGCTTTTGGATTGTGGGAGGAAACACATTTAAACAAAGAAAGAACATACTCTATATATTCCATGAAGAGAATGCACAGATGAACTCAGAAAACCTAGGATCCAGAGCTGCAAGCCAAGAGGGTTAAACACATACCACCATTTTCCTAAGGTATACTTGTTCAGTGCAGGGACACAGATATTGACTTTTGAAGCCATTTTGAGACTCAGTTGGATTAGCTGATGGCTAATTTACTTATCATACTTTTATCTTTATTAAGGGTGTTCTATTAGTGCAGTTGCTGATGTGGTATTCCTTGTGGATGGCTCATGGAGTGTGGGGAGAACGAACTTCAAGTATATTCTTGACTTCATGTCGTCTTTGTCTTCGGCGTTTGACATTGGAGAAGATAAGACGAGGGTTGGTGTTGTCCAGTACAGTTCAGATACCAGGACAGAGTTTAATATGAACAGATATTTCAAACAAACTGAGCTTCTGGCAGCTATTAAAAGAATACCTTACAAAGGAGGAAATACAATGACAGGTATGTGACTTTTTGGTCATTTCAATATAATTTTTCAGTACCTAAAATTACATACATGCTATGCAACCAAGACCATATAAATTCTTATTGTTTTCTTTTTGGATATGTTTTGTCACTGGTTCTGCATAATCAGTAAATCAATATTTAATTTGCAATATTAAAGCTAAAAATCCCTTGAAAATTCACCCATTAATGCAGTTACTTATTCACTAAAAACATCTTTGTTTTTAATGTAGCTAGTTTTAGTACCTGAATTTGACTTGGTATGAAGTTCTTGTTATCCCCTAAACAGAAAATTTCAGACTGGGAATGAGATTGGCAGTACTACAGACCAAACACAGGAATGCAAAGGATTGATCTCATCAGTCTGCTTATCCTAAATGCAGAGAGGTGACCTAGCTCACCTTGCTAAATCAAAGTAGAGAAAATTCAGGTCTCCAATTCAGCTCTGTTCTGGCAGGACTGTGTAAATCTCAGAACTGGAAGGTCAGAAATACAAATCATCTGGCAGATAGAATAAATATGTTTCACACATATATATATTTTTACTGTTCATTTAGCTGTTTTCTTGAAGTTCAGCTTCAAACAAAATGACGTTTTCTTTTTACTATAATGTTCATTTACCTTATGTGTAATCAAATTGTAGGTGAAGCCATTGACTATTTGAAAAAGAATGCCTTTGTCCAATCTGCTGGGGCCAGGAAAGGATTTCCAAAAATAGCAGTAATCATTACTGATGGTAAATCCCAAGATGAAGTAGAAATTCCAGCAAAGGAGCTTCAGAACTTAGGAGTAGAAGTTTTCACATTGGGTAAGAAAATCAATTTATTTTATTATATCCAACAACTCTGTATAGTAAAGAGGTTTTGCATGTTGAATATATTATTTAATAACATATATATTTTACTTTTCAGATGTGTGTTTCATTTACACAGCATAGTACAATGCTTGCTGGTTGACCAGTGACTCATTTGTAATAACAAATGGAGTTTACCTGGAAAAGTTCTCCAAACATGAATGCATAAATGCCAGCAAAGTTATACACAGTCAGGAGCAGCCTGTATGTCTGCTCCATTATGGGTGAAAGCACCTATAATTTATTAGGATGAACATATTTGACTGAAATTGAATTGTGTAGTTTGGGGGGAACCATATCCTGACAAAGATGGTCTGAGTGCTTTGCTATTTGGTTAACTCGTTCCCTCCTTCTTTCTGGTCTACAACAACAGCAATGACCTTAATGAGAAGGCAGGCTCAGGGAGGCTTCTTTATTATACATTTATAAGAGTATTAAAAATGTAATCTAGATTTGTTAATCAGACTTAGCCATGTGATGACATGTATTCTTCATTTCTCTTCTCAGGCATAAAGGCAGCAGATGCAAAAGAGCTAAAACAAATGGCCTCCTTACCATCTCTAAAACATGTGTACAGTGTTCCTAACTTTGATGCTATTGTTCAAGTACAAAATGAAATTATTAGTCAAGTTTGCTCTGGTGTTGATGAGCAGCTTAGTGATATCACTAGTGGGGATGAAGGTGAGTGTTATTTGCATGTGTACATACATATGTGTACTAAATATATATAAAGATGTTGTTCATAATAGTCCTCTGTACAACAGAGCTCATGTTGGGATAGGAAGAAGCAGTACAAGGAGTCATTCAGATGTGCTGCAATGTTCATGTTCTAACAAGGAATGTGCTGATAGAAAGAGAGATCACAGTGCCATAGACATGAGCTCATCAGTTTGTTACTTCAGTTTCACTCTCTTCTCTTTTTTAAGTTGTATTACATTATTGCAGTAGAGCAAAGTCAGGACTCCAGGTTGGCTGTGCTGTTTGGCAGAGCTGTGTAAATCAGAAATGAATGGATAAAAATATAAATCCTTTTGGCAAGCAAAACAGCTCTAATATTTGTATTTCATCCATTAATTTAGCTGTTTGCCTGGAGTTAGGCTTCAAATGCTATGCTAAGCCAAAATCTTTTTTAAAGTTTTAGATATGGAAGGAATAAAATCCCTATTGGTTTTTTTATGCCTGTTTATTGCTGGGGACATTTATCTTCACTTTTTGTCCTGGAGACACTACAAGAAATGAGAGGAAAAATACTGGAACTAAATGAAATTCCTATCTTAGATAGCTGTCATAAGAGGGGGTATTTACTAAACCTGGAGAGTGCAAAATCTGGTGCAGCTCTGAATAGAATCCAATCAGCTTCCAGGTTTTATTGTGATAGCTTAATTGAAAAAGCTAAAGTTAGAAGCTGATTGGCTAGCATGCATAGCTGCACCAGATTCTGAATGCACCAGTTTTAGTAAATCTACCTCAAGGTGTCTCAGTTGGCAGATTTTCCCTCACCTGTTGCTCTAGTGAGAACTCAAAAGTTTTGCATTGCCTATCACTGTCTAAGTGACAGTGTTCACCAGGATAAACAGAAGGGCAAATCTACTCAGCAGGAACACAGACAGCAATAGAAACCTGATTGGGGTGAGGGGTGTCTACATTTTTCCACACTCTGTGAAAAACTAAAACATTTAAAAGTATAAACATGCTGTGCAATACGTTTTACAGTGTTTTTTTAAAACCTAATTATTTCCTCTATGCTATTATGGGTGCTAGAATTATCCTACCCATTTATTTAAGATGTACCGTACTTATTGTGGGACCTATAGGTGTAATTAAATAGTTTGACAATATGAACAGTAACCGCATAGTCAATACAACTCCATTCATTTTAAATATGTAAACTAATTTAATCCCCTTGATAGCTTTTTTGATAACCACCTGGAGAGCACATTTATTTTCATACATTTACAAGCTCAAAACATCTGTGCATATTTTGTTTTCTTCTGATTGAGCCATTTATAAGTTATTTACTTTTCTGTTTCAGTTGTGGATCCTCCTTCAGATTTATTTGTAACAGAAATTTCTTCCAAATCTATGAAGATCACCTGGAAGGCTTCTCCAAGTCAAATCACAGGCTACAGAATTAAGCTTACTCCAATGCTGGCAGGAAGTAAACCTCAGGCTGTGAATGTTGGCCCTAAAACTACAAGCCACATTCTGAAGGATCTTTCCCCAGATACAGAGTATGAGATTAATGTATTTGCAATGAAAGAACTTACAGCGAGTGAGCCAATCTCAACACTGGAAAAAACTCAGGCAGTGAAAATAAGAGTGGGTAAGCTATTACCTCTATGCTGTTTACCTTCCTGTTTAAAGAGTTTCTTGATTCCTTTTATGAAGACAGAAACTTTAATTATGTTTCTGCTTGGAATAATATACAAATAATTTAATAAACATGGGTATCGTTTTTCACAGAATGTTCCGGTGGTGTGGATATAAAAGCTGATGTTGTTCTCCTTGTTGATGGCTCTTACAGTATTGGTGTTGCCAACTTTGCTAAAGTCAGAGCCTTCTTGGAAGTGTTAGTAAAAAGCTTTGACATCTCACCCAACAAAGTGCAGATCAGTCTTGTACAGTACAGCAGAGATCCATTTACAGAGTTTGCACTGAACAAGTATGACAAGATTGAAGACATTCTTCATGCAATAAATACCTTTCCATATAGAGGGGGCTCTACAAACACTGGCAAGGCCATGACTTATGTCAGAGAAAAAGTATTTGTCGACAACAGGGGTGCAAGATCCAATGTCCCCAGAGTCATGATACTTATCACTGATGGAAAGTCTTCTGATGCCTTTAAGGACCCGGCCCAAAAACTCAGAAGTTCAGATGTAGAAATTTTTGCTGTTGGTGTTAAAGATGCAGTGAGAACTGAGCTGGAGGCAATTGCATCACCACCAGCAGACACCCACGTTTACACTGTAGAAGACTTTGATGCCTTCCAAAGAATCTCTTTTGAATTGACACAGTCTATTTGTCTGAGAATTGAACAAGAAAACTGAAAAAATAAAGCGGAAATGTAAGTAGCAAAAGTGAAAGTAATTTTCTACATGCAGTAATGTATAAGGGCAAAATGTGTTTGCAAAATGCACAACCTAAATTTATGTATAAGAGACTGATCGATGATTTATTTCAAATGAATTAATGCTGTTGATCGGCCAACTTTATTCTGATCAGGTATTTATGCTGCAAAATACCAGTTATACAATACACCCATCCTGTTACAATAATAACATATGTAATACTGTACATGCTAAAATTGAAACAAACAGTGCTGAAAGGTATTGTGTAGAGAGTATGGCCTGTAAGTCTTAAGGTGACAATATACGGGAAGATATTTTACAATGAACAGTAGGTTAAAACTGATTTTTTTTTACACTATATCCAGTGATTTTAGAGATTAATGGCCTGTAGGAAATGTTTGCAAATAAATCGCAAAGATTTTACAACATGGTGGACAATCTCCAACTCCTAACATCTGAAAATGGCCAAAAATGAGTTGTGTATGTCTACATTGGCTCTGGCATTTGACAGTTGAATGACAGGGGCAGGAGGAAGTTTCAGGAGTCGGTAGGGTTCAGTTACCAAATTGCTATTGTTGATACTTTAACCATGTTTTAGACCAGCTCAGGTTCACTTGAAAAACTATCATTTCATTTGAGCTTATGACAAATACATTTTAACAAATACAAATAGCTTATGACAAATACATTTTAACAAGGGCCTTAATGTTTTTTTCTGTAGTAATGTGCAGAAGGCTTAATGTGTTTTTATGTACTTTTTTTTTTTTTAGCTCTGACACCAGCATCCAACTTAGAGTTCTCTGAGGTCACTTCCAACAGTTTCCGAGTAAGCTGGTCTCCAGGAGCTGATGATGTTTTAGCTTACCGTGTCCAATACAAGGTTGCTGTTGGTGGGGAAGAATTTATTTTTACTGTTCCAGCTCCAACTACTACTACTGTTCTTACAAATCTGTTTCCTGAGACTACATACGCTGTCAGTGTTGAGGCAGAATATGAGGAAGGATGGAGCACTCCACTGAATGGAGAAGAAACAACTCTAGAAGGTATTGTTGCAGACATCATTACTAAGAAAGGAAGCTACTTTTTAAGAATGGGTATCATAATTAATCGATAGTCTACATCTTTGTAATTCTCTGGTGTCTGATGATTGCCTAGCATTGTTGCTTTTTCCTCATGTAATGATGACTGAAACATAGGGAGAGTATTGATTGGGACACCCTGTGTTGTGTCTGTTGATTTTTCTAGCAGAGTAAACTTAACAAAATGTGGGACCTAAGTCTGGATATTTGAAGTGACTTGTACATACTACTAACAATATCAGTACAATAGTGTGGAAATCTCTGCGCAAATATTTGCAGCAGGGGAAAGCATTGCCATCTTAGGGGATCTGGTGGGGTGAAAAATATCTTCAGATCCGCACTGATCTCTGCTGCAGATAATGATACAGTGATACGTGAGATAAGTATTTGCATAGATGTCTATCTTTTTTTGGCATGCATCAAATAGTGGTTGCATGTCACATAAAGGTGATTGAAGGTTTGGTCTTTATTTCTAAATATGCACTAAAAATCCTGCTATCAAGGTCATTTGATACAAAAAAAACCTTTGCACTGTATGTTATAGTAGCCTTTAACCATTGTCGGAAATTATGTAATACACTACAAGAACAAAACTCTTTACTAAGGAGAGACCAATATGATTAGAATTTATTACCTAAATCACTATTGTCAACTGTAGTCAGCAGCCACAGACATCCATAGCAAAGAATATACAGTATATTTGTAATGTACCTGTATGAGGAGCAATGATAAGGGTGGCCTGTTGCACATTTTCAGTCTATGCACCCTTGAAATCTGGGACAGGGGCTGCAACTACAATGGAAGGACACAGGTGCCAGGAATCTGGAACCAAAGAATTGAACTTGGGAGTGCCGGTGGCAAGTAAGCAGATGCACAGTGGTGAGGGCACCCAGAATACATCAAGTCCAGTAGAGATCAAAGCTAGGTCAAAATCCGAGATTAGTAAAGCTACCCATAAGTGAATCGAAATTGAGCCGGTTCAGCAGTATACAGTTGAATTTCGATACATATATATATTGGGACTGTGGTTGTACAGAAGTCTATCAACTATGAATCAACTTCTTTACAACCACCCTGCTGGAAATTTTCTTCTTGATCAGTGCTGCAGGCTATAGCCTACAGTGCTCTGATCTGTATATTCTAATGGTGGTAGGGTCTCCCCGCTGTCAAAATATAATGACACAGCAGGAGGATTCCCCTATCCACATCAAATTTGTGGATGAGGAATTTGGTCAGTTTTTTTTATGTTCAACCCACTGCTTGAATGAAAAAATGGACCAATCTATGGCCAGCCTAACAGTCAAGCAGGAAGACACCAAATCGTGAGCAGAATAAATGTCAGGCATGAGCAGAGGTTGATAGCATGCAGGCAGTGAGGCACAGAATCGATAGCCAAAATGATCTAGAGTGGAAGTCTTGGTCAGGCCGAGGTGAGGAAGAAAATAGGACAAAATCATAGACAGGCAAGGATTATCCAGAAGCAGGTCAGACAAAAGCTGGGTCAATAACATGGTCAAGCAGATTCAGGATCAGGGATAATAGGAACTGAAACTGGAAGGCCATTCGGCAATGATCCAGTGCAGGAACTAGGTTTAAATACCCAGCAGGTGCCAGTATCTGTGGTGGATGTACCTGTGTGTCCACATGCACACCATTGTATGCATGTTCTTGTGTGTGCAGACAACCTTTCACATCATGTTCCTGACAATAAAAAGATGTTTATACAGTGTACTTTTGTTTAAAATAGAAGGAACCATCATGTGGTATTGCACTAAAGCTGTTGGTAAAATACATTAGGAACACGGTGACATACACTCCTCTCTCTGGTCAGTGTTGAAACTAATACATAAATGAGCCTGGATTTGAGGCCACAGGTGGGCTCAGATTTCTCAAAGGTTTCCCTTTCTCATGGGGAAGAGATTGGTTGTAAATGGCTAACCTCTTCAGCTCAGCATTAAGAAGCAAAATGAGTATGATGTCAGAGGTCTGTTTAGCAAAGGGCTGTTTAGTAATTACACTAGTATAGAGTAAGTTATTTGGTGTATCAGTTGTCATACTCATTAGGCATTGCACATCGGCTATCATGCTGAACAGCCTGAGATAGCTGAAAATATCATCTGTGTGCATATTTAAGAATGTAAAGTTGGTGGCTAAGAAAAATAACAATGTAATGATACAATAACTGTCTCATAAGCTGTTTTTAATACGCCCCTGTTTACAGAAAAATAACTGAAAGAAGAATAGTGAGTCAGACAGTTAGAATGTTCTATTAACTGCTTGCTGGGAGGTATCTTTGTTTCCAGTATACCGACTCGCAGCTTGTGAGTAAAGACATCTTGGCAGCAGTCTTGACATTATCAAGTTATGATTGACCTAATAAAGCAAGACAGTCTATTAACTTAAATAACCCATATTAAACAATAAGCAAAACCTTTGTGCTAACAAATGTAGCTTTACATCTAAGTTCAGCAAAGCCTTGTTCTAAACCAACAACACATTGACAATTTTGATATTTTAAGCATTGCATGATTGAGCCTTCTATTTTTGTGTATTGATAATGTTTTTCATTGGTATAAAGGGTCTAAATTTTGATTGTTTTTTTTCTCTGTTTCTTACAGTAAAAGGAGCACCTAGAAATCTTATAGTAAGTGATGAGACCACTGATAGCTTTAAAGTTGGCTGGTCTCCAGCTCCTGGAAATGTTTTGAGATACAGAGTTGACTATCGGCCAGTTGCTGGTGGAGAAAGAAAAGAAGTAACAGTGCCAGGAAATGAAAGAGCGACAACACTACAAAAGCTTCTGTCTGACACAAAGTACCATGTATCAGTCACCCCTGAGTATCGTTCAGGTCCAGGAAAAGCCTTGAAAGGAAATGGAGCAACTGAAGAAAGTATGTTATTCCTTCTCACAACATTTTGTCAGTCACTGACTTCTGTCATTCACAGATTTAATCCCAGGGCTATTGCTAGCGGTTTCTAAAACCCACAACAAAGTAGTGCAACTGCTGTGTTAATTATGTTTGATTACATTTAAATAAACAAGCGTGTACGCTGACGATATATACTACAGTATTTGATGACATTGCTCAGTCATCACTAAGTTTATCTCCCAGAACAACATTCCATGACATTAAAGCCCAACAACATGAATACTAAATACCTATGGCCTATGGCCATACCTTAACTTAATGTCCGCACTAACATAATTTTGTATTACCATGCTGCATTTGAGCTTTTTTTTTCTATCTATCTGACCTTTTGACACCGTAAGATGGAAAGAGGGTTGCTTATCAGACCTATTGTGGTGTGACAAGGTGTGATAAGCATCCCTTTCTGTGGACACTGTTTGCCCATACAAATTAACTCTACCCATATGCCAGCCATCATCAATCTCTACATTACTTCTAGAAACATGTTCATCTTAGATCGCTCCAAACATGTATAGGGATCATATCCATGATGCCCAAGCCTCAAAAAAAGAGTCTGGATAACTCTGTACATCATGCAGCCCAAAAGCTTGTTAGAGGGCATAGACTTTAAAGAAAATGTACAATCCCCCTTGTGGAGAAAGTATAAGGAAATAACTAGCTCCTTAGAAACACAAAGTAAATGTCACACTAT